GTGAGATATTTTTTATGTGAGAACCTCATGAAGGAAAAAAAATGAGAAGTGAAAAAAGGTTGACTTTATACCAAAAGACTCCTAGAATTGATAAATAAATTCAGCAAAGTCTCACATTACAAAATCAACATACACTGAGCAGTAGCATTTCTATATAGTAATAACAGTCAAGTTGAGAGTCAAATCAAGAATGCAATACCATTTATAAAAGCTGCAAAGAAAATAAAATATCTAGGATTATACTTAACCAAGGAGGTGAAAGATTTCTATAAGGAAAATTACAAAACACTGATGAAAGAAATTGTAGGTGACAGAAACAAATGGAAAAAAGATCCCATGCTGGTGGATTGGAAGAATCAACATTGTTAAAATGTCCATACTACTCAATGTGATTTACAGATTCAATGCAATTCCAATCAAAATACCAACTTTATTTTTAACAGAACTAGAAAAAACAATCCTAAATGGCATATACAACCAAAAGCTAGCCCAAATAACGCTATCTTAAGCAAAAAGAAAAAATCTGGAGGCATCACATTAACTAATTATACTACAAGGTATAGTAACCACAACAGCATAGTCTTGGTATAAACATGGAGACATAGATCAATGGAACACAATAGAGAATACAGACATAGAATGATATAGCTACAAGCAACCGATTTTCAACAAAGCAGACGACATATACTGGGCCAAGGAAGCCCTATTTAACAAATGGTGATGGGAAAATTGGATCGCCACATGCAGAAGAATGAAAGAGGATCCCCATATCTCACTATATACAAAAATTAACTCAAGATGGATTAAAGACCTAAATGTAAGACCTGAAATCATAAAAATTCTAGAAGCTACCACAGGAAAAAACTCTTCTAGATATCAGTCTAGGCAAAGAATTTATGACTAAGGACACTAAAGGCAAATACAGCAACAACAAAAATAAATAAATATGAGTTAATTAAATTAAAAAGTTTCTGCACAGCAAAGGAAACAATCAACTGAGTAAATAGACAACCTACAGAATGGGAGAAAAAAATTGCAATGTATATATCCGACAAAGGGCTAATATCCACAATCTGCAAAATAATCAAATCAGTGAGGAAAAAAATCCCAACAATTCCTTTAAAAAGTAGCAAAAGACATGAACTGAAGCTTTTTTTAAAGCTAGAAAAATGGCCATCAAATATATGAAGAAATTCTTAATATCACTAATCATCAGGGAAATGCAAATTAAAGCCACAATGAGATGCTACCTCATCTCTATCAAAATGGCTATTAATAAAAAATCAAAAAACAATAGATGTTGCCATGGATGCAGTGAAAAAAGATTGCTTATACACTGTGGGTAGGACTGTAAATTAGTACAACCTCCAAGGAAAACAGTATGGAGATTCCTCAAAGAACTAAAAGTAGACCTACCGTTCAATCCAGCAATCCCACTACTGGATATCTACCCAAACAAAAAGAAGACATTATATCAAGAAGACACCTGTACCTAATGTTTATCACAGCACAATTCATGATTGCAAAGCTTGATAGAATCAACCTAAGTATCCATCAGTTGATGAGTAAAGAAAATGTTACATACATACACACACACCCACCATGGACTACTACTCAGACATAAAAATGAATGAATCAATGTCTTTTGCAGCAACGTGGATGGAACTGGAGACCATTATTCTAAGTGAAGTATCTCCGGAATGGAAAACCATACACCACATGTTTTCACTAATAAGTGAGAGCTAAAGGATGGGTACACAGGATCATAAAGTGGTGCAAAGGACATGAGAAACTAAGGGAGAAAGGGTTAGGGATACAAACTTACCTGTCGGGTACAATGTACACTATTCTGCTGATGAGCACAATAAAAGCCTTGACTTCAGCATTATACAACTCATACATGTAACAAGAATACTTGTGCCCCTAATATTTTAAAATAAAAATTGTTTTATAAAAAAAAAGAGAGTGAGATTAATGGCAAGGAGGGGTGAGTAGGTTTTTATGTTTGTTTTTCTGTGTCACTACATTCATTCATATGGATATGTTATTTTGATTCAAAAATAAACATTAATAGACAAATAAATGCCAAGGAAACAAAATCCATAGGCAATTTACAGAAAAAAGAAATATAAGTTTTCTGACTTGTCTTGTAAAAAATAAGACTCTCATTGAATGATGTAATCAAAATTTAGCAGATGTTTCCTTACCTGCCTTTTTTTAAGTTAATGGTTAACCTTAAAATAACAGTTTTGTTTTACTAATTTATATTGCTTTATTGAGCCTTTCATATAGTACTTCTCAAATAATGATTTGTTGAAAATACAGATGGTTATATAAAAAAAGTGTCAACAATGTCAACTGTTGCAGTTACTTCCATTAATATAACTTAAAAATATTTATTAGTTTAGTGACATAACATTGCTTATGTAAGAAACAATGATTGACAGTGTGATGTTACATAAAGACTAGAGGTAATGATACTCAACAGTCAGGAATGTAGGGATTGCTTCTAACAGGTGGAGGGTCAGTATAGTATCACTATTGAAACAGGGTAGGGGGAGAAGAGTATAAATGGAGTTGTAGTTAGATTTTAGTTTTATTAATAGGAATGTAAATTTGACAACTTATATAGTTTTTATGAAGTGGGTGTGGTGAGGCAATCAAGTTTAAGAAAAGCAGAGAAGTTTCTAGAAATTTTGGGGAGAATAGCAGATGAAGCCATCCACAAAAACTTAGTGGGATTGAGTGGCAATGCTGAAGGATCATTTAAAGTTAGTGGCCATGAACCCACCCATGAAGGTGGGTACAACCTTCCAAGCAGCTTTCAAAGTTTCAAGGCAGTCACAAACTAAGCATATAGTTGAGTTCATTATGGTTGGGGTTTTGCCAAACAAGAGCAATAGAAGACAGAGGGACAAGGGAAATTTAAATATCTGTTAAGAATTATTCCTGAAATGTTTGCTCATGGAATGTAGAAGGTAAGTTAAGTGATATATCTGTGCCATGAAACGAAAGTAGCAGAGATTGTTGCATATGGACACTGAATTTTTCACTTCTTAGTGAAGGTGCTGTCCATTTTGGGATTCTGACTTGTACATGTGCTAGTTTCCTTTGTTATGGTCGATGAAAGATGTAGGAAGAGGTCTATTGTGTGAAAAGAAGGTGTAAGAGCCTCCTCAACCTCAGGCATAATCCAAATGTAAGATATTATATAGATGAACAGTGTAAATGGAACTGATTATTGGTTAGCCAGCAAAAATGTTACCATTTTCAGATAAGGATGTTTAAATTCTTAAGGAATCAATGAGCAAATGCTCAAAATTTTATGGAAATGGCTTATAATCACTCCACCTACAAGCTTTTAATAACATTTAAAAATATACATCTTTTTTATTTTCACTCTATAGACAATTATGTACTCTTGAAGTTGATATAAAATATGTATACTCTTTCCATAGTGATAGAATACACAATGATGACTCTCAAATATCTTTCTCTAGCCTAGCCCCCTGTTATGGGTATTATGAATATATATCTGAATGCCTACTGCATATCTCCACATAAATTTCCCATGGACACTTTATCTCATCATTGCCAAAACTGAATTCCTCAGGTTTAACCACTCCTCTTTTCTTTCACCTGTGTTATTTTTTCCAGTTAAGAGAATTATTGCCCATTCAGTGAACTATGTGAAAGCTTTGAAATTGTTTTATATCTAGCTTCTCCAACTCCAAAGCCCCATTTTTAATTAATTACCAAATGCTGATAATTCTAGTTCCTTAATATTCCAGTAATGTTTCCTGCCCTTCAATGCTACATCACTGCTTTGTTCAGTCTCTTATCACTTCTTGGCTGGTTAGTTTTAACAAGTCCTGAAGTGGTTTCCTAGTCTTCGTTCTTTTACCTACCTATTTCTCCATGCCATTACCCTAACCGTGTAGCCTTTGGCAGGTTCTTTCATATCTTTAATATTGGATTCTTCATCACCAAAATGGATATTGCACTTGTACTTTCTACCTGATAGAATTGTTATTATTATGCATATGGTATATAATACTCTATGTGTGTGTGTGTATATATATCTCACATAGTTTATGAAGTTTCATCGACTTCATAGTCTATATATATATATATATATTACATATATATGCAAACTATATAAGCTATGAAGTCTATAAGAAACTAAGTGGTAAACAGCAAAAATCTTGTGATATAGCTCTGGTCATACATTCTAGCAGCATATATTTTAAAAACAAGCATATAGAAAACTGTTAAAATAGGTTTTTCCTTATATTTCACAATCAGTCAGGATTCTCAAGCTCACGTCTTAATAATGGCTTCATAGATTTTTTTACTGCATGACAGAGCAAGCTGCATATCATATATCAGTAGTACAATAGCTCTTGACTTCTTTAGTGCAATGCTTAACTGTAAATGTCTATAAATACAAATGAGGTGTTTAAATTTGAAGATACTTTAGATACATGGCAATACCTATAATTATAGAATCATCACTTCTGCCTGAATTGCACTTTAAAGTTAAAGTTCCAACTGCTCCTATTATTGGAAAAGTAATAATAACAATTATAAGCATACCATGAAGTATTAAAAGCTGAACATTCAATTTGAAGGCAGCTGAAATAAAAATGTAATGAAAAGCGAACCTATAAAATGCTTGCAATTCATATACATATGCTATATAGAGTCAATAAAGAGCAAAGAAAAGAACTGTGCAGTCTTTATTACAGTTCTTTTCAGATACCCTCTCCCTTTCTGGCATTAAAATAGTATTATGGTGAATATTTCTCATCCGTGGATCATCACTTTCCTATGTCAAAAATTGTATTCTAAGGCCTGCATAATCTCACACTAAAAATGTAAAGTTTCTAACTATGGCAAATGAATTTTTATTTAAAGTTCAAGTTATCAGAAAAACATTAATATATCTTTATTTTTCACCTTTGGGATGGCTGGCCATTTTAATGAGCCAAGCAACTTACCATCATTACGTAGAGTGAGTGGCGTTGGAGGACTAAGTACTCGAGCATTTGTCACTGTGTTTTTCACCAGACAAATATAGCTGCCAACATCTGAAGTTTGGACTTTAGAAATATAAAGGTTGCCTGTCTCCTGGGAAATGAACCGCCGGCTGTCTTCCGCCACAAAGGAAGGGAACTCATTAAATACCCAGCTATAGATGATCTCTGAAAATACACAAAATTCAGTTGTTGAATGACACAGGTTATTTCACTAACAGACAAAGCTCAAACAACAAAGGTTTTACTAAGTATTAGATATATTGCAAGGTCATACATATTTGATCTGGATATCTATATAATTCAGTATTTTATATTCAAAGACTATTGCTCTTAATGACTATAGAAAGATTTGAAATATTTCTTCAGTATCCCTAGCCTTTAGCCACTCATCTGTTTAATTCCAATGGGTACTGAACATGTATGAGATACTTAGCACTATAACACTGAAAAAAAAAAATGAGAGAGACAATTCCCCGTTCCCAAAGATCAATTTAATGGGGAAGATTTACCCAAACCTATGAAACAATGTGGAATAAGGAGATGGAAAAGGTATGGGAGAAGGCACTTAAGGAATCATATCAATCAATGAAAACATCCTGAGTTAGGAGATGGCTAACTCAGGCATCATTTACTGGTTTATTCAACAAATATTGGTTGAGGATCACTACAGGCCAGATATTGTTCCATGTGAAAACAAATAAAGTCTATGGTTTCATAGAGCTTTAGTTATAGTGGGAAGAAACCAAGAATACACAAACAAATACTATGTCAAGTGGTGATAAATACTGTAAAGAATACTAAAACATTTTAAGAGAGCTGGAAAGTGACAGGTCTGAGAAGGACAAGTGAATTTATACTTTAAAAGCTCTCTCTGACTGCTGGGTAGTTAGAGGACAAAGCAGAGACAGAAGGAAGGGAAGCAGGAGCAAGAAGGAATAATATCAACTAGCCTAAGAGGCTATTTTCAGAAAGTCATGAAAAATACAAATGGTCTGCTCTAGAATGTTAGTGGTAGTGATAACAGCGGGGAAATAGTGAGAAATGATTGCTATAAAAGTTGACAAATATTGCTGATGGATCAATTATAAAATGTGAGAAGTGGAGAAAAGTCAAAGTTTAAAGTTTTGGGCCCCAGTGACTGAGCTACTACAAGAGTATGTTTGCCTTTACTGAAATGGGAAAACTACAGGAAAAGTAGGTTTTTGAAAATATGGGAGGATTGAAATCAGGATTTTAGTTATAACAGAGTAAAATACACAGACTATCAGGAATTCAACTAGAGAAATTGAAAAAATATTGTACTTTAGAATATGGACGCCTATCCATTCAAATCTCGACAGGCATTAGAATTATCTGTTATTTTTGCAAGAACACATTCCAAGACTTTGTTTTCCCAGAGTTGTTTGTTTAGTAAGACAAGTTATTTGTATTTTTTAAAAAGCTCAGCATATGATTCCAATCTGCAATGAGGCTTGGAAAGCCCTGTTTTATTTCTGTCTTTTCTTTTCTCTTTCTCTCTTTTTGACTCATTCTCTCAGACCTACGATGGATTGTCAAAAATAAGTTCATAACTCTGGCCCTGCCCCATTTCAAATGGGGAGCCTGGCATTTGGTCAACCTTTCTGAATACTGAAACAAAGACTTGAAGATTATTCGTCCATATGGCAAGTCAGTATAACTTATTTCAAAACTTTATATATAGATAAATAAACTTTGAATAGAACTCCTCCCAATGTAATTACTACTACTACTTCATGCTTTGCTTTAATTGAATTTATTACCAACGTATTGTGTTAAGTAAATGTAAATGATGAATTTTTACAAATTTGTGTTTAAGAAAGGTGGTGTCATAGGCTAACTTCTTAGAAGAATCAGAAACATTTTCACAGACATCATCTTAGGAAAGTGTATCCTATGCAATCAACTGATAAATATTGCAAATTATATTCCTTTTGTCCAAATGTTCCCCTGTACACATACCCTATTTTCTTTACTTAATTTAATTTGTATTTGTGCTTAAGTTCATTGGAACTTCCAGAAGCATTATAAAGTCCTGACTCAATTTAAATTTTGAGATAGTTTAAGTGGAGGAATTATTTAACTAAGTTTTTGGAGTTCAGTTTTATCATTCATAAACAGGGAATGATATTACCTACTATATTAGATTTCAGACAAGATAATATATCTAAGAACTTAACACGTAATGTGCATTCATAAAATATGACAAATAACATTTTTATTATCATTCCATTGCCCCCAAATTATTAGGTTATAAGCTTCTTCTATGTGCACCATTTACATATGAGGAAAACAGCACAGAGGATCTAAAACAACTCTGAAAGAATAATGGCTACTTAAATATTATTTGATCTGTTTTCCATAGAAAATTTCAATGATGAGTTGAATGTTGATTCTAAGCAAGATTTAGCCAATATTTATTATTTTCAAGGCATATATTATAGTCCTAGAAGAAGCCTGAGAATTTTGAAATGTTATATTACACTAGCTCATAATTACAACATACATGTGCAATATCAAAAACTTTCAAACGTTAACAAATGTTTTATAAAGAAACCTATTTTTTTTGTAGTTAAAGTTACCCAGCTGGCAGTCTTTAGTCCAACTTGATATTTTATTAAGGATTAAAAAAAATATATATCCATGTGGCTTTACTCAAAGGTAGCCCATGGAGTATAATTAAACTACTTCAGTCAGTTCTCACACAGTTCAACTAGAGTCTAAATTCAAGGATTTCTCACATTTAATAATATGAAACCCTCTAAGTATTATAATGAAAGTTTCATGTATCATAACTCACAAACATTTTAACATTTTTTCATTTATTTTAGATTAAATTTTACTAGGATTTTCTGAAATTTTGGTTTACGTTACTTGAAATTTTGCGGAAAAGAAAACAAGTAACAATTCAAATCTATCATTCATTGAAATATTATCTTTTACACTGATAATATTTTATTGAGTCAATATTTTATAAAACATTTTTAGAATAGGATAGGAAAAATGTATTTATACAAAATTGACATTTATGCAAATTTTACAGGTAAATGGGTATTTGGGGGCTCAAAAATGCTTATTTAGCTCTTCAAATAAGTCTTCAGTTTCATCTAGCAAAGCATTTCATAATTCCAAGAAGTATAAAAAGTAGGAATGGTACACAATAGAAAAGCTGACAACCTGAGTTTGCATTGGATTTTCTGCTAGTGCCAAAAATGAGAATATTGAACTTAGCTAAATTTATTTTGATAGCCCTGTTAACTATCTCCTGTACACTTTTCTACTATTAACATTTATTTAATATTCTTTTCAAATTTTATTGTCATAAAAATAAGCATATAATTATTTTTTAGTAAATATCATAGTCTGAGGATTATATAATAATTCAGGGAGATGGCAGAATGTAGTTGGCTCTGGTGCCACCACCTTTAGATTTATATACCACTTTGTTTAATAACAACTGTTTCTGCTCCTTAAAAATAATTTAATAATACTGATTTATTAAATGGTAAAAATTTAGTAGTATTATTATTTTAGAAGATATTGAGATTAGTTGGTCAAGTGCCATTTTTTCCATTTTCTAAGGTTCTTTTATAATAGTATGTTATAGTTAAAGCAATTAAAATGTTTTAGAAGTTCTTGGTCTGATTCTTTGGCGAGTAGTCACTATTTTAGCAATGCCTATTTTTGAGACATTCTGTGCATCTTAGGTTGTGAAAAGTCTCCCTCAAGAATGCTCTTGCATTCTACTAACAGCCACATTTGGGATATATCCACTAGGGATTGATTTTTATGTTAAATATTACTAGTGAATTTTTGATACTATATGGTAATATACATTTGGCCCATGAACTCACAAGCTGTGTAGGCCTTTTGTTTCTCATGGGAGAATTTTTGTCTTCCACTCTGAGCCAGTGAGAGTCATTCTAATTTGCTAAGGGTTTAGCCCATCTGGGGCCTGCCCTGATGCAGACATTGCTATTTCAGCTACCACTCTCAAGCAAACTCAAAGACTTGTCCTTTGCCCTGGCAGGATCATTCATTCTCAGGGTCCTAGACTTCAGAGTCTATTTCCATGACATAAACGATTCACCTCACTGCCAAGATTTCCTCAGGATTAACACTAGAACATATGTATTGGATTTTACTTCCTATTTGTTTCTGATACCTGGGGATTTGCTTTTCTTTCTTGTAAGCTCAGCTGTATATTAAAATTTACTTTGGTTTATTTTACTCATCATTTCTAAATGTTAGTGGTGGGAAAATTTCCAAGTTGGTTCTGTCTCTTGCCCTAATTGAATGTCCAGGTTTTATGACTTCATGCATTGTAGACTTTCAACACAATTGCTGCAATTGATTCAGTGTCAAAAACAGAGGATCTTCTCTTTGCTCCCCTGACAAATATGATGATTATTTAAATGATATATTTCCACATCTACAGAGTATATAAAAACAGGAGTACCCATATGGGCAATGATGCTCATTTCTCATAACTACAGTGCCATTAATGAAAAAGTATGAGAATGGGGAATGAAACTGCATACTGGATTCTCTGAAGTCTTTGAAAACATTTTCAAAGAGTAGTCATATGTGATTCATTTCAATATTCTTTAATATAACTACAAGTTGGGAAATAACCATTCTTCTTTCTAATAATGTGTGTACACATCAGAGGCTTTGGGTCAAAGGATTTGGAGAGAACACAATGGATATAGCATCTGAGTCGTTCACTGACCCAATTAATAATGCAACTCTCCCAGGGATCCTATTTTCTTTATTCCTGTCAGCTACAAAAAGAAAAACTTAAAAATCAGAAGCTTCTCTATTTTTGTGAAATGCTCAGCTTTATGATTTATGGTAGGATTTTCAGTTAATAGGCTGTATTCAGCAAAATCCCTGATCTTACTCCTTTCTGGCTATTACTGTGATATGAGATTTAATGTTATATCTGTCGAAATACTGTGATTATAGTTTGTTCTTTATTATAAAAATAAAACTTTTAGTTTAATTTTTAAATAGTTTGTTTGCATTTGTAGTTTTATATTATTGTGTTAATTTTACTGATGCTGCTTAGTAGACTGTATGTCATTAGCATCTTAATATTTACTACTTGCCTTATGATAACATTTATTTTTACAATTCCATCATTC